TGCTATAGATAGTGTTAATATTCTTATACTATATATAAAAATTTTAGCCGATTTGGTCTAGTAGTTCTCGAGTAATCGTTTGTATACGATAGTCAATTTTTTAAAAAAAATTTACTATCGTATACAAATGATTACTCGTGAACTACCAGATTATTAGTTATCAAAATATCTATAATCAAATTTTGAGTAAAAATAATATTTTTTTTTATTTAATGGACGTTTTAAAATTTATCAATAAAAAATAATATTTTACCTTTTTAAAATCACATTATATATTATTGTATATCATGTGATTATATAGAGGTGCTTCTATTTAGTCACCCCTCCACATAATCACCCAAAAGTGTTAGACAAACTGGGTGATTATATGGGAGGAAGACTGTATATAAAAAAATATAACAAAATTTTAAAAATTTTAATAAAATTTAAATTAATATTGATTTTTTCTGCATTTTTATTGGTTATTCATATTATACTGCAGCTAAAAAATTGGCACCTATATATAAAATTTGTTGGCTTTAGTTAGTACCCACTATATTAAAAAACTTACAAAATATCTATGAATATCTTGATTGATAAGGTGTATATTGTATCAGGATATTCAGTATATATAATACAGAAATCAATTCATAATAATATAACAAATATCATATATATCTAAACATTACCCCTGGTAAATATATATATATATATATATAGGTATTTCACATGAATACTTCATTATATTGATTTATCGAATATTTACTACACTTATAGTTCACTATAATAAAAAGTTACACTACTTTTAATATTTACTAATTAATACCAATAATAAGGAACTATTGCTTACCGAATGTAATGATCTACAAAAATATTTGAAAAAAGATTATAAAACTGAATTAAAAGTTGATTTTTATGGTTATACTAAACATGATATTTGTATAAATTATTGTATGTTATATGCTTTTGGAGTTTGCTTACAATCATACAATCTAATCTGTAGTTATTGTAGAGCCTTCTTCAATTTGTTTATATAAACTTAAAAGCAAATACCATCTGATTTTCATAATGAATTAAATAAATTGAAAGAATATTTATTGTATTACTTAGTGCATTAGACCAGAAAAATTTATTTAAATATGCAATTTAATGCATATATAAATGAGTTTGATGAAAAAGGTGCTCTAATAATAGTAGATTATAAAATGAAAATTTTACCAAAAAGTTTACATGAAACAAAACAAAAAAGGATGAATGTTATATTCAATATTAATATATACATGCCTGTTTAATAATACCAATTTACAAGTTCGTATATTTGATTATTGGTTAAATAATACATGTCAAGATGCTTGGTTTACAGTCTCCTCATTACATGCAGCAATATTAGAAATAGATCCTCAGCCAGAATGGGTTATTTTTATCTCAGATAATGAACCCACTATTATAATACAGATCTAATAATAATTATGAGAAGATGGAAAGAATAGTATAATATATATATTAGAAAATGGACTTTTCTTGGGGCAGGAGAAACTAAAACGATGATTGATTCTCACCATGCCCAGGTCTGAATATTCTAATCTTGTAATATACACATCACTCTGGATATAATGATACAATAGTAAAATCTTTTTATACTTACATTTTTTTGATATAACTCACAATATTGATATTTTGAAAATTTTTTACTAATGTTTCAAAAATATTAATATAACCAAAGTGATGTATATTACTTTTGTTAATAGAAAAATCGGGTTGGGTTGGGCTGACCAACCTCAAATCTGCTTTATTAATTTTGCTTCAGATTCTATACTGAGCTGCTCCAATCTATAACTATTTTTAAAGCCACTCTACTAACAATTCCATTTTTAAATAATTACAGATTTTATATGCAATTAATCATTATGTTCATCTAGGATTTAATATTGTACAAGAATTAGATATTGAGTTGGCCATTGAAGAAATTTGTAGAACATTAGTGGCCTATTTAGAGCTAGAATGACTCAAAGATAATAAAGAGTAAATAAGGTATTAAATAATGACAAACTGACTTTATATTAGTTTCAGGTAAAAAAAAGTTTAATACTTTACTAGGTAACTCAAACTGGTTTTCGTGGGAGTGGCCATGGGATAATAATTGTACAGAGTATGTTCAAGTATGTGCAATATCTAATATTGGTAAATGGAACAAATTTACACCTGAAAAATTAGAAAAGTTACAAAAAAAGGATATTCAAAAGCCAAATCCTCAAGTTTCTAAGTATTTAGTTCTCAAATTTTTATGGTTTATTCTAATGCTATATAAATCAAGTAATGTAGTAATTTTTAGTTCCTTTTTTTTTTTATAAAGTTATTCTGTTATTCAATTTGCTATCTTAGAAATCCATCCTGATCATTTAACAGTTGATCAACTGAAAAAACAACTAACAAATCAAAGAGTTAGTTATAATTGTGAAAGTATGAAACAAGATTTGATATCTTTATTGAATCATATATTATCTCAAGAGCCAGAGCTCCAAAAAACAGGTATTGTTAATTTGTATAGACAAAGTAATGTGAGATCTAGCTAATTGCAATATAATTAGAGTTATCTGTTGAATTATTGAATTCGAATGAAGAAAAGTAAAATTATGTTATTTTATAGTAATAAATATTCACATTCAAAATAATTACAATTTAATTCATCATCAATAAAAAAAACTATACAGTGAATTTCCGCTTGCATTAGGCTAGGCATTGAAGAAAACCCAAAAATTTGAAAAAAGAGGTGGGTAAAAGAATCAGTAAACACATCATAACTTATTTGAAAGAATACTTCTTAGCAGGTAATATTAATAAAAGTGATTAGTATAGCACAAAAGATATACATAATGAACTAACAGAGCTGGTAAAGACAGATAGCTTGGAAGAAAGTGACATTTCAAAGGTATCAACAATTCAAAACTAGATAGGTTGATATGTAACACAACATAAATAAAAAATAGCACATATTAGTCAGTATAGTATGCTCACTAGTAAAAACTCAATGTAACAATATGTAAATGCTAAAATGGTATACTTGGTACTAGTGAATTATAGCATTTTAGAAGGTCAGAATCTGGTGTTTCTCTAATAAAAAGTTTTTAATAATAAAATTTTATTAAAAGATTTTATTGAAATTAAATTCTCATGATTTGAATAAATTAGTTATATTACTTTTCAATGCGAATACCAGAAACGTAGTGATATGCAATATCATGAAGTATATAGTCTACTGTGTCATTTTTAGTGATGTGTGTCTGCAAAATCTCATATCTGATTGGGCGATATGCTAAATGTGGTAAAAACATGAATATTTGTGCTTAAACATCACAAAATGCATCATATACTACCATATTTATATCTTGTATGAGATTTACTATACGAATGTATCTTTAACAGGTTTTTGTCTCGATAAAGTGCATAATGATCATTTATAAAAATATGCTTGTTGTTTATTATTGTCTTTCAGAATTCACTAACCAAATGTGGATTTTTGGTGCAAAAATCTTGAATTTAATCTGTAATGGCTAAAATCAGTTCACATGACTCTTTCTTTATGAGAAAAATTCTGTTGCAGTTGAATAATAATGCTAACTATGCATTTTAATATATAGTATGAGATTTGTTTAACTATAGCAAATGTTCAATTTTGCTTTAACAGGTTTTTGTCTGAAGTTAATGACGATTAATGCTTTTTTTATTATTGTCTTTTGGAATAGAACTAACCAAATCCGGATTTACTGTTAACTGTTTGTTAACGGCTTATTCAAAGCCGGTTTTAGCTGTACAATGGTGCCAAGTCTATTAAATGCAACTGAATCGCATAGCTTCAGATTATATCATAATTATTGAAGCTATGAATTGTTGGCTTTGGCTCAAGTTGTAGTAATAATATCGATAAGCTTTGCATTAAATATTATTACATTGTTACAGTAATAATGATTTAAAGCAATATAGCATTTAAAGAAGCCATACAAGCGTTAACAGCTCTAAAAACTTTAATAGATTGAAATTGGTCTACAAAATTCTGTCATATAATGTCAGGTTTTCACATGATATTTTAATTAAGTATTTTTTATTTACTCAGTTGAACATTATCAATTAATATATCTATTAATTAATTTCTTTTTCAATTTTATTCATATGATTTAAGGTTCTCACAAGCATATAAATTATAGATCGGAACACAATTTTTTAATTGGTGAAACCGATAAGTAGGTTCATTATTGCAATAAAAAAAAAAGTTTGAAGCTATCTTTTTTTTTGTCAGACTTCAGCAAAATTACAGTAGAGATCGCTTCAATTAGTACTATTAATGATCTCAATAGCCATCTAATCACATTGAGCACTTTTAGTCTAAGTTTAGTGATTATTCATTGGTCTAATTGGTCTAAATATTTAATATAAGCTGTTTATATCTTATTTAGCTTCTTATTCATATTAGGCCAGACCAATTTAATTCGGTGGTTTACATTACATTCCTCTCTTAAAAGAGGGAGGTAAAAAATAGACCTACATAGTAAATTTTAATAAAATTTTTTAAATCAGAAATTACTGGCTTGATCTTGCTTGTCTTTTATGTTCGTTTATTTTTTCTTTGTAATTTTTCGAATCCTAATCTTAATTTCGCCCTGCATTATACTCTTCGGCCAAAATTATATATAAATATATCCTAAAAATTTTTTGATACTTAGAGAGAGAGGGAGGAGGTCAAAAGAGGGGTAATGTAAACTACCAAATTAAATTGGTTTAGCCTTACACAGGTTGAATCGATGAATATCAGGTGCATATCCAGAAGACAAGTTTTCTGATATATATGTACTCAATAGTCTGCCATAGATCTGTTGAATATCAGCAGCATTTTTAGCAGCCTATTGGCAAGATATCTGGAGGTAGATCGATATAAGCAACATAACAGCAAAATATGAGATCTTACTTTTAGGCCCAGAGTGCTAAAAGTAATATATCTGGGTATCCCAATATTGTACTGATATCTGATATTCTACTAATATGCTGCCAGTTACATATAAGGAAACTTGTCTCCCAGCATGCATGCAATATTCATTGGTTCAACTTGTGTTCGTATATATAATTATCATCTACCAAGATCATTTATAAACAGAAATGTCACGTTAGGCGAGACCAATTTAATTCAGTAGTTTACGTTATATCCTACTTACAAAAAAAGAGAGGGCTAGAGAGAGTTTATTATAAATTTTTACTCCAAAATGCTCCGCGATATTATAAAATTTTTCCGAAATTTTCCACGTATATAGTAAGAAGAAGGTGGAAGGGGGTAATGTAAACTACTGAATCAAATTGGTCTTGCCTTACAATGCCTAATTGGGTTCAATTTTTTTTTGGACATATGTCCAATTGAAATTAGTTATTGTAATATAATATCTCTGTTTCTAAATCATGGAGATTATTATGAACGAATCTGTACAGCATAGGGTGTGTATTTTTAATATCTGTTCTGGCATTATATATTATTAAGGTTAGTATTAGAAAATTGCAGTGGGTTGTTATAATATGTTTTTAAAAAGGTATTTTACACTATTTAAATTATAGTGTCTTGTATCAATATAGTTATGCTATATTTAGTTTTATACACGATATTTATTTATCTGAATTCAAAACTATAACTTATATAACTACATATTCAGTATTGGAGCTGTCATCCATTTCTGGTTTAGCGCAACAATGTCATGTAGCTACTTATTTTTTATCAAATTTAAATCAAACAAACATAAAATTTAAGATCGTGTTTTAAAACATTTGCCATCTCTAAGTATAAATAATATTAAAATTGTAAATTTATATTGCTATTTTAATTTTTTCACTTTTTGATTTTTTTTCTCAGATGTTGATTAATAATAAAAGATATGCTGTTTATTATATAATTCTTTTATTATAAGTCTAAACTTCCTCCCCTTAGATGATAAAATCAGTAACATTTATATTAAATATATTGATATTGTAAATCTCTGACCCTCCTCCCTTCCTAAAAAATTATGTAATAAACGGCTCTCTCTAAACAACAATAATGGAGTGAGATAATTATTTATTCAGAAATTATTTCTGACTTATCTTAGATAATGCACACTGTGAAGAGCTCTTAGGTCCTATTATTTTTTTTAAATATACCATTATTCATTTCTTTTTTTATTTTATTATGTATTTTCCTTTTTCTTTTCATAAGACTCAATAAGAGTTAGCTCCCTTAATAAATAGTAGGTAGGTTTTTACTCAATTTGGAAGAATAATGTCTATTTTGGTCTTTTTGGGAATTCTGAGCATCGTTAAAATACTTATAATACCCAAAAATGCCAGAATCATGAGCATAATAGAAATAATGTAATTTTAATTAAAGAAAGCCATAATACTCAAAATGTTCAGAATAGTGAGAATTGTAAGTATTTTGAAAATAGTGCAGATGAAAAGCCATAATTAAAAATAGAAACTCAAATGTACTTATTATTAGCCTGAAAGTTATAAAAGTGTTAGTTCTTTGTCTTGAATAAAAAGAGTTCGACTCAATTAGAGTCTATATTGCTAACTTTAAGTTTTACTCTAATTACCCCGATAAGTGAATTGTATAATCCTGTGATTCTCAATTAGAGCTTCATGATATAGTCTAGAGCTCAATTTGGCCCTAATTACTTGGACCAAGTCTTTCTATGCCTTATTTCATGCTTTCCAACATTAGAGTTTAATAAAGTTGGGTGGTTTAGAGCATTGTTTAGGTAGAATTAATGTTGGTTGATATCCATATCACCTTATTTTTCTGATTTTGATTAAGTTTAGCCTTTCTCAACACACAATTTTTACTGAGATTAAACCACAGTGTAGTTTGGATTAGTGATAGAGTTTCTATTAGTATACAGTTAACCCCTCTATAATTACACTTTTTGTTTACTTAATAACTTTTTTAAAAAATGTGCTTATAAAGAGGTTGTGTTTATATAGAGGTGGTTATTTATATGTTTTGTTTTTGAGTATAGAATATGATAAAGAGGGGTTTTTTATATGATGTAATTATAGAGGGGGTGACTATAAAGGGGAATGACTGTAATTTTATAAAAAAACATTTTTAATTAGGCTGCAAAAAAATATTTTCTTAATTGAAATTTTGAGTTTTGTTTTTTTTGTAAAAAATAATTAAAAGAGTTCACTTTAATTGTCTATTACACCTGATTTTGAAATTTAATTAGTTAGAAATCACAGGAAAGAACAATTTTTGTGGGTGTGCTAGAAGCAGTGATGTAAATTAAATACGCATAGCAGGAGCAGCCAGTGTTTAAAATTTGATGTTCTCAGGGTTCTCAGAGAACATTTAACAATTTTTATGAACATAAATTACTGGAAAATGTTCTCTATTTGAGAACATTTAACAAAATTTTTTAATATTAAAATTTTTTTGATTTTGTAATATTGAGAACATTAAAATTTTAAAAAATATTTTTTTGAGAATATAAAATCAATTTTGAATTTTAAACACTGGGTGCAGCACACATAAACTTATTATACACAGGTTGAATGAAGCCATATCGGGAACTGTATAACCAGATAAAAACTGGAGACGTATCTGGTTTCGATATGTCTCCAGTTTTAATTTTTAATATTATAGTCCTATCGGGTAACTGATAGGCCTATGGTATTAACCCGAATATAAAATGATAAACATAAACTATATCATATGATAATCGGAAATAAATCAAATAAATCTATAGAGCTATCGGTTAATTTATATGTATATGATGTTTAACTTATAACACACGATATTAATAAAGATAATCAAAACATATTGGGATTAAAATGATGTATCTATAGAGCTATCGAATAAATTTATTTGTATATGATTTTTAACATATAGCACACAATATTAATAAAGATAATCAAAACATATCGGGATTAAAACTGATATATCTATAGAGCTATTGATTAATTTATATGTATATGATTTTTAACTTATAATACTTGATATAAAAATTAATAACCAGTACAAATCAGTAAAATATCAGAATAACGTAAAGCCTTATCATGCTAAGCATTTTGGATAAAAATCAGTAATATATCAATTTTCGATATATCACTGGTTTTTATTTTTAAATAAATGCCCTATTGAGAACCCGGTAGGTCTTTTGATTTAACAATAGAACTATTAAATAATTTATATTTATATGATTTTTAACTTATAATACTTGATATAAAAATTGATAACCAGTATAGACCGGTAAAATATTATAATAACATAAAGCTTTATCGGGCTGAGCATTTCGGATAAAAATCAGTGACATATTAATTTTTGATATGCATCTGTTTTTAATTTTAAATCAAAGACCTATCGGGAACCTGATAGATCTTTGGATTTATCATGTAAGCAAACCGATAATCCTTTTTCACATCAGAAGCTATTCAGAGATTAATCCCTGTCGCACTAAGTATCACTTATAACTGCCTTTATGATAATTTTTTACATGTGATTGACTATATTTATGATGATCATATTGTGACCAGGAAGCTTCCTACGGAAGATTCCTGGTCTCATAATGATCATCAGGAATCTCTAATTCATTAACCTTAATTTGGTTTAAAGAAATTTTTAAAATTCTTATGCTACCAGATATATTTTTTAATTCTTATGTTTGAGACTAGGAGTTTTAGTTTGATAGAGTACTTTTTTTAAATTCTCGCACTTTGGACCAGCAGCTTTAATGAGGTCGGTATTTTTTTTTTTAAATTCTCACGCTTTCAATCAAGAGCTTTAACTAATCAGATTTTTTTTTTCAATTCTCACGTTTTTGAACAAGAAATTCTTAACTATATCGGATATTTTTAAAATTCTCATACTTTGAGCTAGGAGCCCTAATCGGATCGGGTATGTTTTTTAAATTCTCGTTTTTTGAAACTAAGAGCTTTAATTAGTCGGGTATTTTTTTTGATTCTTTTGCTTTGGGCTAGAAGCTTTAATCAGGTCAAGTATTTTTTTTAAATTCTCATTCTTTAAAATCAAGAGCTTTAACTAATCGGGTATTTGTTTTAAAAATTCTTATACTTTGGGCTATGTGCTTCAATCGGATCAGGCATTTTTTTTAAATTCTCATTCTTGAAACCAAGAGCTTTACTTAATCGGATATTTTTATTTATATCAGCTATTTGAAGTAAATTGTTCGTATACATTCGCTTTTTTTTTTTTTATATTAATCTTGCATAGCATTATTAGGTTACAAGCTCATTATATAGTATTAATAGTAATGTTAATACTTATATTACTACAGTTCTCAATCGAGATTCTTGGGGTACTTGGTTTTTGGTCATCTAATTCTCTATCTTCAGATGTTTTGGTTTTCTTATTTAACGTGATTGAGAGTAAATCAGATGCTTTAGAAAATCCTAAAAAACATATATATATTATATATTAAAAATTGTAATAAATTAAAAAATTGAATTTTCAATATTACCAATTTGATTATTATGAGTGAACGTTGAATCTCTTAGTGCTAAATGGAATTCAAATTAACAGTAATGAATAATACTTAATGTATAGTTAGATAAAAGTATAATTCAAAGTAATTAAATAAAAATTTACCTGTTTCTTCAGTAGGAATTAAATGAGAAACATTATCTATTTTACGTTTCATAGATTGATGTTGATAAGCCGATACTCCTGCGATTGTTTTATGTCATGAGAAAAGCATCTGCTCATCAAGTGTCACACCAGATTCAACCAGACTATGAATACCTGAAATATCAAATTGTACGTATTAATAAGTTGTACAATAAAAAAAATAAAAATATTGTTGCACTACATATAAGTGTAGAAGTTTTATACCTGTCGATCTCATTGAATAATTAGTAATATTACGACCCTTAAAATCCAATTTAGCCTCCTCACATATTGAATGCATCATTGCATCATGAGAGCACTTTCCTAGTTTTGTTGGCAGATACCATTCACCACAGTAAACTTTTTTTGGAACATTAATTGAGACAAAAAAATAATTATCTTCAACATTATTTGGACGTCTTAATAAATATCTTTTAATATCAGCAACCGGTGTATATACATTTCCTAAAGAATCAGAAGGAATAAAACTAATGCCAGCTTCTGCGTACGGATCTTTAACCTCACCAGCATGATTTTTTTCTTTAGGTAACTCAAGTTGCATTCCTCCATTGTCTAATTCTTTAATCCAAGATGCTTTTAATCGCTTAGCATCACCACCTTTCAAACAGTACAATAATGATAGCCAAATCCAAACTCTTCGCAAAAGACCTTTAGAAGTATTAATTGTTGTAACAGGTGAGTCAAGTAAAAATTTAATCTCTTCAGTTTCCAATGGATCCGATTGTTTATGATTCTTGTTTCCTTTTTCAATGATTGATTTCATACGACCATCCAATGTGCGATGTAAACTTCTAAACTGGTGCTTGTCAAATATGTTTACAACTCGTACTTCTTCAAAAGTTTCAGATATTCCTTGTGCAATAGCAGAAAATCTAGTATAAAGTGAAGAGGCTTTATATTCCTGACCATTCGACTTACGAACTTCAACTAAAAATTGTTTTAATTGATCTGATAATGTATTATTATCTAGTTCGATGATTTCTTGAGAGTATCCATGTAAGTTACGAAACTTGATAAATAAAGCCATCCATTGTTTTATGGACTTGTCAGTATTCTTGTTACGTGAGGCTTGCTGAACTTCCTCAATTTCTTCTCTAGTTGACGAGACAAATCGAGAACTACGCTTAGTCATTTTCTATTTAAGTAAAAAAAAAAATGTACAGTGAAAAAAAAATATAAGAATAATTGATAAAAGTTAAAAAGAAAAGCTAAAATAAATTAAAAATAAAATAGACCTATAAAAGCGAAGCCTGTAAAGTTAAGCACAGTAAAAGAAAAGCGAAGCTTGTAAAAATTATGCATAATAAAAATTCTAATCGATATATATATATTCGTAGTTTATCACATGATAAAATTATGATAAGCAAAAATAAGTATAGCAAGCGAAGATATGAAAATATTAATATAGTCAATTACATGTAAAGGTAATAATGCATGGCAGTTCGATTAACATCTAGTGACACGCTCCTGGGGATTATTTATTTATTTCCTGGAGGGAAATTATAGCAGAGGTTCCTGACGATCATAGCATGTGGGATGGCCCTTCGGGCCATCCCACTGCTATGATCGTCAGGAACCTCTGCTATAATTTCTACTCCCCCAGGAAATAAATAATACGAATTGTATCTAATATAAAAATATAATTGAAATCCCATTGACGTGTTTTCTTTTGATGGCACTCAAATAAGATCTGACAAAAATCTATAAATAAGTCATGCATTAGACATACGTAAGTAGATTTTACTCTTTTGCTCGAAAAAAATATATCATACTTTTTTTTTTTCAATACACATGCGATTTACACTAATTACTTAGAAAGTCAATTTAGATAGATTTAAAATAAATTTGGGTTAGTTTAAACAATGCAAAATAATCCGATTACTATTAATGTATTAGCCTATCAAACTATTATACTTTTAGTCTTTATATTACTATAATTAGAATATATAAATAATTAATCCGCGTAAGAACAATTAATCACGAATTATAGTAAATAAAAAAATCATGCATACGTATTGTGAAATATTCTATTGTTACGAAATGCATTCTTGATTTTTATGTAATTGTAATTTTAAATAGTAATAAATATATAAGAGGTTAAATTGAAGCATATAAAAGTAAATTTATACTATTTTAACTTAC